CTTTCCCATTCTATTGTTTTCCTCTATTTCTTTGCACTGATCACTGAGTAAGGCTTTCTTATCTCTCCCTGCTATTCTTTGGAACTCTGAATTCAAATAGGTATATCTTCCTTTTTCTCCTTTGCCTTTCACTTCCCTTGTTTTCACAGCTATTTGTACGGCCTCCTCAGGCAACCATTTTGCCTTTTTGTATTTCTTTTCCTTGGGGTTGATCTTGATCACTGCCATGAACAATGTCATGAACCTCCGTCCTTAGGTCTTCAGGCATTCTGTCTAGCAGATCTAATCCATTGAATCTATTTGTCACTTCCACTGTATAATTGTAAGGGATTTGATTTAGGTCATACCTGAATGGTCTAATGACTTTCCCTACTTTCTTCAATGTAAGTCTGAATTTATCAATAAAGAGAGCATGGTCTTGGCCACAGTAAATTCCTGGTCTTGTTTTTGCTGACTGTATGGAACTTCTCCATCTTTGGCTGCAAAGAATATAGTCAATCTGATTTCAGTATTGACCATCTGGTGATGTCCATGTGTAGAGTCTTCTCTGTGTTTGATATGACAGGTGAGTATCTTGGCAAAACTCTATTAGCCTTTATCCTGCTTTATTCTTTCCCCCAATGCCAAATTTGCCTATTACTCCAGCTATGTCTTGACTTCCTACTTTTGCATTCCAGTCCCCTATAATGAAAAAGACATCTTTTTTGGGTGTTAGTTCTAGAAGGTCTTGTACGTCTTCATAGATCCATTCAACTTCAGCTTCTTCAGCATTACTGGTCAGAGCATAGAGTTGGATTACTGTGACGTTGAATGGTTTGCCTTGGAAATGAAAAGAGATCATTCTCTCATTTTTGAGATTGCATCCAAGTACTGCATTTCAGACTCTTGTTGACTATCATGGCTACTCCATTTCTTCTAAGGGATTCTTGCCCACAATAGTAGATATACTACTGAGTTAAATTTACCCATTCCAGTCCATTTTAGTTTGCTGATTCTAAAATGTTAATGCTCACTCTTTGCCATCTCCTTTTTGACCACTTCCAATTTGCCTTAATTCATGGGTCTAACATTCCAGGTTCCTATGCAATATTAGTCTTTATAGCATCAGATTTTACTTCCATCACCAGTCACATCTACAACTGGGTGTTGTTTTTGCTTTGGCTCCATCTCTTCATTCTTTCTGGAGTTGTTTCTACACTCTTCTCCTGTAGCATATTTGGCACCTACTAACCTGGGGAGTTCATCTTTCAGTGTCCTATCTTTTTGCCTTTTCATACGATTAAATGGCTTTCTCATGGCAAGAGTACTAGTGGTTGCCATTCCCTTTAGAAGATCTGAATGGTCATTTTTTTCCCAAAGAAGTATACAGAGGGCTAACAGTTCCATGAAAAGTTGCTCAGCATCTTTAATCATCCAAGAAATGGAAATTAGAACCACAATTTGATACCACTTCACACCTATCAGAATTGGTATTATGAAGAAAATCACAAATAGCAAGTGTTGATGATGATATGGAGAAAGGGGCACTGTAGCACACTCTTGAAGGGAATGTAAAAGTGTTACAGCCACTGTGGAAAACTGCATGGACATTTCTAAAAAAAAAAAAAAAAAAAAAAAACTAAAAATTAAACTATCATATGACCCAACAATTCCACTCCTGTACATTTATTTGAAAAGAAAAAAAGAAGAAAATTGCACTCCAATTTTTATTGCAGTACCATTTACAATTGCCAAGACATGGAAAGAACCTAAATGACCGTTATTGGATAAATGGATTAAAGAATGTGTGAATGGGGAGAGGAACGGGCAAGAAGGGGTAAATAATTAAGAGTTACAAGCTATTATGTATAAAATGAATAAACTACAAGGATATATGGTAGAACCCCAAAATATATAGCCACTATTTTATAGCAACTGTAAAGGGAGTATAACCTTTAAAATTTGTGAATCACTACATTGTACACCAGAAGCTTAATATTGTACACCAACTATACCACAATAAAATCAATGCAAAAATCCTAAATAAAATATTAGCAACCATAAAAAAATACAATAGCTTATTTCTTATTGAAAACAATGGAGGTCATGAGGCAGAGGGCTTACATATTCAAAGTATGTGCATGCTAAGCTGCTTCAGTCATGTCCAGTTTTTTGCAACCCTGTGGACAGTAGCCCACCAGGCTTTTCTGTCCATGGGAGTCTACAGGCAGAAATACTGGAGTGGGTTGCAATGCTCTCCTCCAGGAGATCTTCCCCACCCAGGGATCTAACTCTCATGTCTTATGTCTCCTGCATTGGCAGGCAGGTTCTTTGCCACTAGTGCCAAATGAGAAGCCCCATTCAAAGTACATATTCTATCAATAAGTAGTTCTATATTTAGCAAAATTATACTTTTTCTGGAATTGGAGAATAACACAGAGTGTGAATTATATGTAGGACAGAGATGAATCAGGTGACCAGACTCAAGGAACCATGTTGAGGTGGAAGAGGAGGCAGGTAAAAGAAGCCAAGAGAAAGTAACTTGGATCAGAGAGCAGGAAAGGACATAACTTCTCTGGGCCTCAATTTCTTTATCCATCAGTAGAGGTCAGTTGTGAGCACTGCCTAATAGTTTTATTGCCTGTAAACATGGACTGGAAAAGGAATAGACAGGCTGATTGGTTGTTAGCAAGGTCATGCCCAAATGGGCTAGAAATGCACTTATAGAAAGGTGAGAATGTTCAACTTGTCTCTTTATGAAGCACACACTTTTTTTTTTTTTTTTTTTTTTACTTTCTGGCCATGTCTTTCTCTGCTTGACCAGATTGTCATCTCTCAAAGATCTGGACCAGTGTCCATAAATATCTCTCAGGATGAGGCTGCCTTTATTCCTTCCTAAACTAACAGACCATAACTTACAGCACACGTCCTTACTACATCTAAACTTTGGCAAACAAATCCCTGCAGGCCAAACAGGAGTCTCAAACCAATATCAGCCTCCTAACCCAAGTGGAAGGGGACCGACGTGCTTACTTTTGTTACACCGAGATATCCTCTGAGGGTAAAATATTTCAGGAAGCTCTGAGGATAATCTCCTAAAGGATGTTAGCCCTCAACGTGTTTGGGGAAATAAAAACCTTCTTGGAATAAGTATCTTCCCTTCCAAGGAGATTTCTTGAAGGGCAACAAGATTCATTTGGCCATATCACTGCTGGGCTGTTCATTTCAATCCAAGTCTACAATCTTTACGTCCACAGTTTGCAGGTTTCCAAATAATTCTGTAATAAACATTCAAACCTTGATTAGATGTCAACCAGAACTTGCATTTGACTTTAGGGAAAAAGAGGGGAGATTTAAATAAACTATGCAGAGATGAGGGCTTTTTTTCATAAAGCAAAACTGAATAACCAACCAACAAAATAAAAACAACAACAGCAAAAAACCCCATCAAAGCACAGCAAAAACGAACCAATAAAATTATCCCAAAAGGTGCCCAGGAACTGGTATAGGTTCAATCATAAAAGGCAATCAGACATAGTGGAAGAACATGAAATCTGAGTACAAATCCTTCCTTGAACTTCCAAGCAGTAAGCCCCTGGATAAGTAGATTTCCCTTTCTGACTTGTAGTTTCTTCTTCTGTAAAATAAGGGTAATGATAGCTATCTCATGTGATAATTGTGGGATTCAATGAGAAAACATGTGCCAACTTCTTGTGCATTGTATATGGCAAATAAGGGTACTTAGTAAATATTACTTTTCCCTTTACCATCTTCATCTACTTAACCTACATCATGACAGGCAAAGTCTCCAGTGTTATTGTGCCAGTCCAGAATTTTTCTTTAGTAATTGAACAACCCAGGACTCCCTCCCCACTCTGCCCCAATCGATTTTCTCTGGGATAAGGACATTATGTTGATATATCTCTGGAACAATTTAGTTCACTGAGATTCTCACCAAGAAAGAATGCTGCTCACCTTTGACCACAAATTTCACAGTGTTACTGTGCTGCTCAAAGCCTAACCAGCCCTTGACAGTACAGAAATAGGAACCTGAGTCATCTACCACTGCAGACTTCAAAAGTAAGATACTGAAGATTCCTACTTTGATGGGTACTTGGTTGCTAGTCTATTCCTTGTATCAAACATAGCTGATCAGGGGAGAACCCCAAGACTGGCATTGAAGGCTAATCCTCATTCCTTTGGGTACCCTGAAGCCATAGCCACTGCCAGTCATCAGTGTGGGTTTAGAGACAGATACTGCAAAGGGAAGACAAAAGAGAAGGCTCTGGGAATGAGAACACAAGGCTGTCATCCATGTTGAGTCTAGGGTTATGAATATCTCTGCAAAGGGAACTAAAAAGGGCTGCTGATGTGGGGAAAAAAAGGGAATAAGACAACTTAAATAAAAAGAATTTCCTTGAAAAGAGTAGGTATCATTTTGTATTATTTGGGGATTTGTGCTGTCTGGAGTTAAAAAAATCAACTGACTAAAACAAAGCCCAAACAGTTTTTTTTTGTTTTGGTTTGGTTTTTCATTTTGCTCTGTTTGCTTGTTTTTGTTCAGAATTTTTGTTTATCTGAAATTTTGGATTAGCAGGGGTCATATTTTTGTAAAATTGTCAAGCTAGCTAAGCTTATCTTGACCAATCCATGCATACCCTTCCGCAGAGTTTCTCTGCCAACATTTATCCATTCTCTGATAACCTTATCAGATATACTTATTTTTATGAGTTTTAAGAAAGTCCAAAGATACAATCAGGCTATGGGTGCTGGAATTTCTGGGACACTTGAAGGAGTAGAGATCTGAAGGCCAGAAAGCCTTCCCAACATTTATTAAATTCTGCCACAAGAGTGATAACCCTGAGAATATTCTGTTCACTACCTCTGATTAGCACATATCATTGAAGAGAGACTATGTAGATGTAAACTAAGGTCTCTGGGTTTCTCAGGATTTTCTAGGATTATAGTCCTTTATTGGGTCTTTGCTTACCAGTACTTTCTTAACACCCACAGTGACTCACGTTTCTGGACCCGGAGTTCAATGATCTTATCTTTCACAACTTGGTTGCCATCAGGGGTCTGCCAAGTGACTTCACATGTGTAGTGTCTCCGGTCATCCATCTCCAGGGTATTCAGTTGGAGGGACACATCTCCTGGAACCTCATTATTTACATGCAGGCGGCCCCGGTACTTTGCTTGCTGGATGTGGTCTCCGGAGGGGTCACGTAGAAAAATGGTGACTGAGTCAGATCCACGTTCTACCAGCCACCTTACTAAGACTTGTGTATAGCCTTGCAGAGGACCATAGGTACAGGGAATATTTACATTCCCTTTCCAAGGCCCTGTCACACTCTCAGGCACTTCCAGGATGGGATGTCCTGAAGACCGGGGAAGAGAAGAAGGAAGAAGACACAGATGGTACACTCATCTGAGAGCTAAGATGGCAGTGACAGGCTTCAAGAGGGTTCTGAGAAACACACCCTTAACTCATACATTCAGATTTCCCATGATCTTTTGTTCTCTGCCAGCTCTCTCATCAATCAGAACCAGTCCTTAGAAGGAAAGCCCTAAAGTTTTTTAGCACTTGTGAGTTTCAAGTTCTTTTCCTTTCACTGCCTTGCTTTGAAGTGACCCTGTGTAAGTCAATTTACACCATGGTAGACATATTTTTTTTTCATATATTATATAGAAATTCTGATTGGAATGATAGCTAAGGATCCTACAAACTCTAATATTCTGTAAATCCATGAAAAAAACCTCTTTCAACATTTTCCAAAAGAAGTATGGGAGCAAACACTGAGCAATCAGGTCTGAGCTATTTTACTGCATGTAATTATGCACTTGGAGAAAAGCGGTGGCTTCAGGGTTCAAAAAGAAAGGACTATCTACCCTGCTTATTCCTCACTGCTCCCTAAGAAAAGCTCAGTGATTGGGTCCTTGAACTAAAATTATTTTCTGGAAGGGAAGAAAGAGGTAGGCAAAGGACAATTCTCAGGGTGGAAACTTGTATAAGATGCATTTCTGTTTAGTGAAATCATTAGTTATTGTTAAATGTTAAAAACATGCAATTTGTAAGCTTGACATTTTTTCTGATTTCTATCCTTTCCTTATCTTCCTTTTGGTTTCTCTGAGATCTCAGAAAAAGTACATTGGAAAATTTCATTCTGAGGAGGAATGGAGAGGAAAATATCTGGAAGGGAAAAGGTTCTGAGTATAATCCTAGAGCTGACTGTAAGAATGGCGGTAAGGCCAAAGGGTGATTTTTTTCTTGGCTTGCTGGGAAAGGAAACTAAGAGGGAAATGTTGGGGGTGTTGAGAGAGACACCACATTCCATCAACAATTTCCATCCATAAGCTCATATCTTGAAGATTTTGTGTTTTATTTAACTGGAGTCAGGAGCAAGGGATTGCATTTAGATATGTCTTTATATCTCTCTTAGGAGATGTAGTTTCAAAGTGTAGAAAGTAAAAGAGTTAGTCACTCAGTTATATCTGACTCTTTGCAACTCCATGGAGTGTAGCCCACCATGATCCTCGGTCCATAGAATTCTCCAGATAAGGAACTTGGAGTGGGTAGCCATTCCCTTTTCCAGGGGATGCTCCTGACCCAGGGATCAAACCCAAGTCTCCAGCATTGCAGATAGATTCTTTACTGTCTGAGTCACCAGGGAAACCCTCAACAAATAAAATATTTTTATATAACCTAAGATTCCCAGGCTTTAATCAAGCAGATGAAAGATAGAGTGGGGGCATGTGTTCTAGCTCTCAGAATGTATTGCCAAATACCAGGGCTTCTATCAATAGGAAAGCTAAAGTCTAGCCTTTGGTCTGTGCCCTCAACAGAGACTCTAGTACAACTCCTTTACAACCTGCTGGGACCTAACAAGTTATGGACAGGTAATAGGTCATCCTTGGTTGTAGGGAAACTAGAGAGGACACTTTAGCAACAAGGCAGCTTGTCAGCCAATGTGAAATATAGGTCAAATTAATAAATACTCATCACTTTTCTGGAAAGTTTAGTAGGGGAAAATCTATTTCAGGAAATGTCCAACTCTTGGGGAAATACTTTGCCCATTGTGGATCCTTGCAAACCACCAAATGGTGAGGTATTTGGTACAACAGGGTTTGAAGTACCAGGCAGGATGGAATTTGGAGACTTCCAGTATGGCATAGCTCGAAGGGCTTTTGGAATCCATCTAGTCATATTCCCTCATGGTACATATGCACAGGCTGAGGCTCAGTGAAAGAAAGATGCTTACTCAAAGTCATACAGAAAGTAGGGGCACAGCCAGGCCTGGAGGACTAGAATTAAGTCTTTCAGATGCCACACTGCCTCCTTACTTTTTAAACTGATTAATCTATAGCCACAACTGAAACCAGAACCTTGTTATCTGGGCCTATTTGATATGGTTTAACAGTGCTATCCTAGGGCTGGAAAAAATCCTCCTGACAGCCTAAAAAATAATTCTCTCATCTGCCACCTGTTTTCTGAGAAGTCTTTCCCAGAACTTCAGAGCTTAGTTCTCCTCCCTCCAGAGACTGAATATTATTCAAATATTTCATCCCTTCAGAAGAAAGAAAAGGGCTGGGCATTGACTCAAAGGGCTTTGATGGAAAATGTTTTGACTTGAGAAAGAAGGGCTAGTACTGGGGCCCACACTAGTCTTGGGACCTGGATTTAAGAAGTAAATGTGTGATGATCCAAAGCAAGGAAAGGCCTGGTTTGGGTGGGAGGTTAAGCCCCTTTATGAGATCCATTATGGCCTCCATTTAAAATTTTCATCCTCATATCATCAAACAGGCAGTGAGATCTTCTGATGACCCTGAACATCTGTGCCTGGCCTCTCTCCCCCTATTAGAATGCCCACTCAATAGAGGATTAGCTTACATAATAGTTATTTGAAAAATGTTTATAGTGTTTATAAAATGCAAATGTTAGGATTTATTTTTATTTTTTCAACATAGGTCTTAAATCAAGCGGCTTTTTAGAAATGAAGCCACAGTCCTTCAGAGCTGTCCACCTGGCAGGGTGTTTTGAGATCAGCCAAACTGATGATCTCACTATATAGATGAGCTGGGGACACTGAGATTAAGGGAGAAGGAAGGTGTTATTGGCCATTCAGTTTATTCCCAGTCTCAGGTCTGTAGTGTAATACTCTCAACACAAATGAGAGACATGCTTCTAGGTCTAAATGACCCCCACAAGCTGTGGAGGGAACAATACACACACATACACACACACACACACACATGATTTACATTTAACATTTACAAAATGGTCCTCTGAGCTCCAGTCCTGTCTCTTTAATTCCCAGATCAAATCAACTGATTTGGAGAAAGTAGAGAGGTGCACTCTAAAATGTATTAGAGAGTGAAAATATTGTATTTGTAGAAAGAACAATAATTTTTAGGACCATTAACTCTGCTGCTAATGCTCTGTGGCCTGGAGCAAATTATTTTCCTCCTTGAGTGACTTAATTCAGTGTCTCTTCTAACTCTGAGGTTCTAGAATTTGATGGATGATGGAGCTCCAGAACAAGGTGATTTAATCTGAGTCATTTATGGAAAGTTGAATTCTTTCTAACCACACAAATAGCACCAAGTTAGCATTCATCTAGTCTCTCCCTCTAAGGATATGGAATAAGCAGAGATGAATTAAGGATACTTTTACCTTATTTACCTTCACTTAGCTATTACTCAGGCTTAGTTCCCTAAAGGGAGAAGGAAATGGCAACCCACTGCAGTAGTCTTGTTAAGAGAATCCTGTGGACAGATGAGCCCGGTGGGCTGCTGTCCATGGGGTCGCACAGAGTCAGGCACGACTGAAGCGACTTAGCATGCATTGGAGAGGGAAATGGCAATCCACTCCAGTATTCTTGCCTGGAGAATCCCAGGGACAGAGGAGTCTGGTGGGCTGCCATCTATGGGTTCACACAGAGTTGGACATGACTGAAGTGACTTAGCAGCAGCAGCAGTTTCCCAAAAGGCTATTTCAGTTCTCAAGGGTATAAATGAGGATACAGTAGGATTTCACAAAATAATGCTGCTATGAGACAGTCAATCCTCTTTTGGTGTATAAGTCCAGCATTAAGCTGGGCAAATTACCCTAGACAAATTGGGCCATGTCCACAGGGAAGTGAGTCATCCCAGGAAACGGTAAGAAACCAAGTCCTGTGAAGAACAGTTGAAGGAGCTAAAGCTGTTTAACTTGGAGAAGAGATGAATCAAAGGAACATGGTTTATGTCCATAGCATTCTAAAGACCTGTCACAATATGAAGAAGATATATTCTTTGTGTCTCCAAGAAACAGGGCTGGGATCCTTTGATAGAAGCCACAAGGGAATTGATTTAGTTCAACACAACGGAGTATTTTCTAACAGTTGATTGGATAGACTAGATGGTCTGGACAGGTAGTGGATTCTTAGTCACTGCAAGTATGTGAACAAATATTTTGAGCATTTGTTCATAACACTGAATGGTGGATCTAGGTTACTTTTAAGGTCCCATCTAGCTCCTAACAACATTACTTATCCAGAGGCTGTATATCTTAACAAAGATCCAAACCGGGGCACATAGAGGTAAATGTATAGTGGTAGAATTTCAGGTGAAGGGCAATAAATGGGGAAGGGAATTGAGTGGTGTTGGGAACATTTTTAATGTCCCTGAGATACAACAAATACTAGAAAATAATATGTATGTTTTACAGGAGAGGATCCTTTCCAGTTTCTACCCAAACTTATCTCCTGGCTTCTCAATAACCTCCAACCACTTCCCTCCCTTCTGCCCAAAGCTGAGAGAATCTGGAGCATTGGCTGAGAACAGTCACTCATTTAGCAGGAGTAGGCTTTCCTCAGTAGGCATTCAGTCCCACCTCTCCCCACTCCCCCATTTTTGCCTGTGCCAAAAGTGGCAGCCAGCCCCCCTTTTGCTACTTTACCATAAATGACCACCAGTAGGTGGCTCAGGAGCAGCAGGCCCAGTAAGAGCCCCATCACAGCCAGAGCCACTTCTGTCCTTTCTTCTGGCCTCCTGATATTAAAAAGATGAACTCCTGATGGCTTCCAGAGTCTGTGCTTGCTTACTTCCTTTTCTTTCTTATATCTCTCACACGGACTCCCAGTCTCATCTAACATTCCCCTTCCTTCCCTATTTCAGTACCAGCCCTTCCCTATTTCAGTACCAGTCACATGAGCACCCCCTCCCTACCCTGCCTCGGGTTGGAGTTTTAACTCTGAGTGAAGCAATTCTTCCCCTTGCTAAAGTATTGACTTGACTTTCCCTGGAGCCAATAGGAGTTTCTTGTTTTGATTTCCCAAGCTGCGTTTATTTTGTGTTTCCTCAACAAGATGAGGTTGAGGAATAACATCTGGGATGAATGTGCTCCCTCCACTATGGGAGTATTTTCCTTTCTGATGTGCCCAGATAGAATATATCAACTTTGCTGGCCTATGCAATATTCAGCAGTCATACTGTTAACCCCTGTCTACTCAGTCTATGCAAATAAACAAAGGATTAGAGATGAGTATTTATGGGCCTCAGAATGCAGGAGATTAAGTTTATGAAAGATTTTTTATACATCAGTGCTTACATAATTTGTAAGCTCATGAATAATGCTGTTATGGGGGAATATACCCCTGCATCTCCTATAGGGAAAGCTTTCTCTGATAGCTCTGCCTCTTTGGTGGTAAGGTAAAGTTTCCATTACTGCTCATAAGGAATCTTTTATTTATTTATTTATTTAGTTGAAAAGTTAGGTCTGGCATCCAGTGTACTTGTCAATTGATTTGACAGTGGTCTGCTCTATTAGATTGATCTTTTTAATGGTTTTACACTGGTACATACACCTGACCCATAAAAGAGAGATATTAAGCCTTATGAGAAGCTTAATTACTTCTCTTCACAGGCTTCAGGGCGACTTTAAGTCCACCAGAAGTTTACCTCTAGGTTTGGCACTGCTAACAATTCACTAACCTTTGAAAATATAAACACTTCCAAGAGGAAAAATACACCCAACAAATTCACACTGAAGTGGGTCTCCAAAGAGAGACATTGTCTCCATTCCTGTGTGTAACCACCCCTAGTGCCTGTCAAGGAGTGGTTACATACAGATGATTTGAGGCTGGACAAGGGCTAAGAGGAGACTGTAGCATTTCAGATTCTGCCATTATCACATGGGATTCTGTTAAGTCCCCTGGCTTCCAAATTCAGTCCCCCTTGTCTGGCTGTCCCTTGCTCTTTGGTTACTTCATTTAGTCTACCTCACTGGAACTTTTAGTCATTCTTTCCCATCAGGTCCTCACTCAGGGAACCCTGAACTTTGGAGAACGCTGTTTTTGTATTTTCCAACCAACATCCTACTACCATCACCACCATACACACACACACACACACACACACACACACACACACACACCTCTCTTCACCTACACAGTCTTTTCCTGATGAAGAGCTGAAACCCCATGCCCCCTTAGACTGGTGTCAATTTCTGTATGGCCTGGTGATTGCATTATTGAACTGCCTCTTGCCTCTTGTTAGGATTTCCTAGATCTGAACATAAATAAATGTCCTCAAGAGCATGCACAACATTTCTCTGGGGAAGACTTCTAGTCCTGCAGTAGGCTCAGTAACTCTGTTGAGAAAGAAGGACATTGAAGAGAAACTTAGAAATTTCATTGAAGGTGAAGTTAGAAATTCCAGAGACAGACCTGACTCTGAATCTTTCTAAGACTTTAGACAAGTTAAATCTTTCTGTGCCTCAACTTCTCCAACTATAACATGAGCACTGCTAAAGTTGATATTTGCATCTTTTCTGATCTTCAAAAATCAAACTATAATATACTTACAGTAACAAATATAATAATGACAGTTATTTCTTAATCATTTGCTTTTCCAGGCACTGTACTAAGCACTTAGTTCAGATTATTTCATTGGGTATCTACCATCTCCTAGGTAGGTATTTTGGTATTATTGTACTCACTCTCGTGTCTCTTTTGTAACTCTATTCTTCCTCATGCTATTATTCTTTTTCTTTGTAGAACTTGCCACTACTTGGCAGATTGTATATTTATAATCTGTTGTCTGTCCTCCAATCTAGAAGGTAAACACTATGAAGACATGTTTTCTACAATGTCCCCAGTGCCTAGAACAGTGACTAGCATATAATAGATACTCAATAAAGATTTTTCATGAATGAATTGCACAAGTCACCATTTTAAAAATGAGACGGAAGCCCAGAATAGTGAAATCAGTTACCTGTATAGAGCTACCTAAATAAGATTCAAATGCATATCTGTGTCTCCAAAAATGATGTTGTTAAGCACAGTGTGCACGTACCTTGGGTTTGACTGAGCTGGAAGGAAGCAGTGGTGCAAAAAGGAAATCCACACAGGTCCTGCTCAAGAACATGCATACACACAAACCCATAAACCCATTAATATCATATACAAACATAGATGCATATACATAAGGGCAAATACATATATACATGTGTATATATATATATGTGTGTGTGTGCTAAGCTGATTCAGTTGTGGTCAACTCTTTGTGGAACTATGGTCTGTAGCCCACCAAGCTCCTCTGTCCAGACAAGAATACTGAAGTGTTTTGCCATGCCCTCCTTCAGGGGATCTTCCTGACCTAGGGATCAAACTGGCAACTCTTATGTCTCCTGCATTGGCAGGTGGGTCCTTTACCACTAGTACCACATCAATTCACTTCAGTTCAGTGGCTCAGTCATGTCCAACTATTTGAGACCCCATGGACTGCAGCACACCAGGCCACCCCGTCCCATCACCAACTCCTGGGGTTTACTCAAATTCACGTCTATGAGTCGGTGATGCCATCCAACCATCTCATCTTCTGTCGTCCTCTTCTCCTTCCACCTTCAAACCTTCCCAGCATCAGGGTCTTCTCAAATGAGTCAGTTATTCACATCAGGTGACCAAAGTCTTGGAGTTTAAGCTTCAGGGTCAGTGCTTCCAAGGAATATTCAGGACTGATTTCCTTTAGGATGGACTGGTTGGGTCTTGTAGTCCAAGGGACTCTCAAGAGTCTTCTCCAACACCACACTTCAAAAGGATCATCTTCGGTGCTCAGCTTTCTTCATAGTCCAACTCTTACATCCATACATGACTACTGAAAAACCATAGCCTTGACTAGATGGAACTTTATTGACAAAGTAATGTCTCTGCTTTTTAATATGCTGTCTAAGTTGGTCATAACTTTTCTTCCAAGGAGTAAGCATTTTTAATTTCATGGCTGCAGTCACCATCTGCGGTGATTTTGGAGCCCAAGTAAATAGTCTGTCACTATTTCCACTGTTTCCGAATCTATTTGCCATGAAGTGATGTAACCAGATGACATGATCTTAGTTTTCTGAATGTTGAGTTTTAAGCCAAATTTTTCAGTCTCCTCTTTCACTTTCATCAAGAGGCTCTTTTTTTCTTCACCTTCTGCCATAAAGGTCGTGTCATCTGCATATCTGAGGTTATTGTTATTTTTCCTGGGAATCTTGATTGCAGCTTGTGCTTCATCCAACCCAGCATTTCTCATGATGTACTCTGCATATAAGTTAAATAAGCAGAGTGACAATATACAGGCCTAATGTACTCCTTTCCTGATTTGGAACCAGTCTGTCTTTCCATGTCCAGTTCTATCTGTTGCTTCCTGACCTGCATACAGATTTCTCAAGAGGCAGGACAGGTGCTCTGGTATTCCTATCTCTTTCAGAATTTTCCAGAGTTTGCTGTGGCCCACATAGTCAAAGGCTTTGACATAGTAAATAAATCAGAAGTAGATGCTTTTCTGGAACTCTCTTGCTTTTTTGATGATCCAGTGGATGTTAGCAATTTGATCTCCGGTTCCTCTGCCTTTTCTAAGTCCAGCTTGAACATGTGGAGCTTCATGGTTCATGTATTGTTAAAGCCTGGCTTGGAGAATTTTCAGCATTACTTTACTAGTGTGTGAGATGAGTGCAATTGCTTGGTAGTTTGAGCATTCTTTGGCATTGCCTTTCTTTGGGATTGGAATGAAAACTGACCTTTTCCAGTCCTGTGGCCACTGCTGAACTTTCCAAATTTGCTGGCATATTGAGAGCAGCACTTTCACAGCATCATCTTTTATTATTTGAAATAATTCAACTGGAATTCCATCACCTCCACTAGCTTTGTTCATAGTAATGCTTCCTAAGGCCTACTTGACTTTGCATTCCAGGATGTCTGGCTCTAGGTTGGTGATCACACCATCGTGATTTTCTGGTTTGTGTATAGTTCTTCTGTGTATTCTTGCCACCTTTTCTTAGTATCTTCTGCTTCTGTTAGGTCCATGACATTTCTGTCCTTTATTGTGCCCATCTTTGCATGAAATGTTCCCTTGGTATCTCTAATTTTCTTGAAGAGATCTCTAGTCTTTCCCAGTCTATTGTTTTCCTCTATTTCATTGCACTGATCACTGAGGAAGGCTTTCTCATCACTCTTTGATATTCTGTGGAACTCTGCATTCAAATGGGCATGTCTTTCCTTTTCTCCTTTGCCTTTTGTTTCTCTTCTATTACAACTATTTGTAAGGCCTCCTCAGACAACCACTTGGCCTTTTTGCATTTCTTTTCCTTGGGGATGGTCTTGATCCCTGCCTCCTGTACAATGTCAAGAATCTCCATCCATAGTTCCTCAGGCACTCTGTCTATCAGATCTAATCCCTTTAATCTATTTGCCACTTCCACTGTATAATCATAGGGGATTTGATTTAGGATGTACCTGAATGGTCTAGTGGTTTCCCTACTTTCCTCAATATAAGTCTGAATTTGGCAATAAGGAGTTCATGATCTGAGCCACAGTCAGTTCCCAGTCTTGTTTTTGCTGACCGTATAAAACTTCTCCATCTTTGGCTGCAAAGAATATAATCAGTCTGATTTCAGTATTGACCATCGGCGGATGTTCATGTGTAGAGTTGTCTCTTGTGTTGTTGGAAGATGGTGTTTGCTATGACCACTGCATTCTCTTGGCAAAACTCTGTTAGCCTTTGCCTTGTTTCATTCTGCCCTCCAAGGCCAAATTTGCCTATGCTGCTGCTGCTGCTAAGTCGCTTCAGTCAAGTCCGACTCAGTGCGATCCCATAGACAGCAGCCGACCCGACC